ACTAAGTCCACCGTGACTGCCACTGCTACCCCAGTGGTCCAAACCTCTCCCACTACTAACAGCAGTCCTCAGACGTCACTCACCACACACCTTCCAACCTCGGTTGCTGTCTCTGCCACCCCATACACGACAGAGCCACCAACCACCGCTTCCATACAGACCACGACCACCTTGCCAACCACACAGACCTCTTTCTCCACAACTGTGCCGACCTATTCCACATCCTCTGTCACACCAACTTCCGAAATCATACTTACCCCAACCAGCCCTCACACAGCCTCATCAGCATCCACCTCCAGGACACTCAGCACCCATGTTCCAACCACCACAGTAGAGGTAACAAAGCCCACACACACGGCAACCCCTCTCACCTCCACAACCAGCTCTACCACCCAAATACCAAGCTCATTCCCTACAGACAGGACCTCCCCGCATCTCACACATCCTTCCTCAGCACCTATTGAGCAGTCCACATCATTCCTTGCCAGTACCCTCTCCACTAAGTCCACCGTGACTGCCACTGCTACCCCCATTGTCCACCCTTCCACCTACATACCCAGTAGTCCAGACATATCACTTTCCACACACCCTCCCCCCTCGGTTGTTGTCTTCTCTACTCCTCACACCTCGTCCTCGCCCATGCCCCATGTCAGTTCTGTTGTTACTGCTCCCCAGCAGCCTTCAACCGCGAGTCTGGTTTCCACTTCCCCCTTGTTTACTGAAAGCACAGCGTCACATCTCTCCTCTGTTCCTGCATTCGTTTCTCCAACAGCTCATCCCAGTCCTTTTCCCTCCTCCGTCTTCCCGACCATCACCTCTCCTGTGCCAACGATCCATATGTCCCCCTCCCCATCTTCTCTTCCGGCTTCTAGCACTAGCCTTCCCTCCACTCTGAAGACTACACCTGGTGTGTCCATCTCTTCTTCCATCTCCTCACAATCCACAACCTCCCTGTTCACCTCCCTTACTACTCAAGCCCTTACGTCAGGGCTCTTGTCATCAACCTTGGGCATGACAGTCTTGCCAAGCTCCCCAGACACCAACCACACTACCAGGCCTCCCAAGACCAGCGTGGTGTCTACATCTGTGCTCCTAAGCAGCCCTCCCAATCCCACTGGAAGCGTGTCACCTTCGGCCGAAATGTCACCCTCCAGTGCAGACTCCTGGGTCTCCTCTCCACCGGCCTCTTCTGGTAAGTGATCCTAGGACCTGGACACTTGGTACCTCTCCTTCTTCGGTCCCAGTGTACAGCACAGCACGCTGGTGCACTGCTTTCCGTATTGTTTGCTGTGTTGTCCCTGCCTTCCACTGTCTCTTGGTGCGTCCATGTTGGCCTCATCCTCAGCTTGTCCTAGGCCTTTCTGGACCTAAGTGTAGCTCCTTTCTCTTCTCTGGGGAATCCTCTACTCCTGTGCTAACGCAGTCTGGCTGGATCAGTTACTTGTTCTGCATAAGCGTGAAGCAGTTTAACACCTCTGGGCTTCTGCCTGCTTCCCACGGGGCTGTTGTTCCCCAAGTGCCTCCTGTAGTCTTCATTTTGTGCTTTTTAGTTTTCTGTTTTTATTTTATGAGTGTTAGCCTGCATATGTGTAAGTGCACCTGTGCGTGCAGTGCCCGCGGAGGACAGAAGAGGGTGTCAGATTCCCTGGAACTGGAGTTACAGATGGTTGTTAGTCACCATGTGGGTGCTGGGATTTGAACCTGAATCTTCTGCAGTAACAGCCAGTGCTCTTAACCACTGAGCCATCTCTCCAGCCCCTTTAGTTTTATTTTTAATTATGCATATGTGTACCTGAGAACAAGTGTCTCTGTGAGCCAGAGGCATCAGAGGCCATGGAACTTGAGTTACAGGAGGTTGTGAGAAGACCCATGTGGGTGCTGGGAATTGAACTCTGGTCCTGCAATACACACTGCAGCTGAACCATCTCTCCAATTCTAACCTCCGGTACAGTAGTCTTAACCTCCCTTGGTGCTGACAGCTCCAAGCAACCTTCCAGGTGACATCCTGGAGGCCTAGGTGGAATGTTGGCCAGGCAGGGCCTGAAGGTGAGCTGGAAGAAAAGCAGTGTGTACACTCCTTTTAGGGCCCAGCACTGACTACCTCTCCTACCCATCCATGTCCAAGGTACCTTGCAGGTCAGTACTCCAACGGTCCGTACAGCTACATGAGCTCAACTTACTCTCTAGGGACACCCCTCCTTTCTCTTGGGAGTCCCTCTCAAGGCCCTCACCTTAGTGCCAAACTCCCTGCACACACTCCAGACCACCCCCACACAGGCGGTCCTCACAGAGCCAGCGATCAGTTCATGTCTTTGTGAGTTACAGCTTGTCACCAAGTTGGGTTCAGGCTACTTCTTGATAACCTCAGGAAACAAAGGAGAGTCAAGTGGCTAGATGCAAACATAAGACCATTAGACTCTCCACCAGACCCCTGCTGGAGAACGGTTAAGGTGAGGTAGAGCAGGCCAGGGCAGGAATGAACTTGAGTGCAGGGCAGAATAACCATCTTCCAGGACTGTGTGTGTGTGTGTGTGTGTGTGTGTGTGTGTGTGTGACAGGGTCTCCCTGTAGGTACAGATGGCCTAGGAACTCACTATGGAGACCAGCAGGCTGGCCTTGATCTCAGAGATCTGCCTGCATCTGCCTCCAGAGTGCTGGGATTAAAGGCATGTGCCACAACCAGCTCCAGGAATTATTTTTAACTTAAATGTGTATCCATGTGTGCACACATGTGCGTGCGTCTGATAGAGAATTCCTTCTAGAAAGGATACCTTTGTGTGTGTGTGTGTGTGTGTGTGTGTGTGTGTGTGTGTGTGTGACAGGGTCTCCCTGTAGGTACAGATGGCCTAGGAACTCACTATGGAGACCAGCAGGCTGGCCTTGATCTCAGAGATCTGCCTGCATCTGCCTCCAGAGTGCTGGGATTAAAGGCATGTGCCACAACCAGCTCCAGGAATTATTTTTAACTTAAATGTGTATCCATGTGTGCACACATGTGCGTGCTGTGTGGACAATTTCTAAGAGTCGGTTTTCTCTTTCCATCACTTGGGTTCTGGGGACCAAAGGGGTCATTAGGCTTGGCAGCAAGCACCTGTACCTGCTAAACCATCCTACCAGCCCCAACTTTTAACTTTTTAACCGAAGTTCCACATTGGCAATTTCTGTGAATTTTTCTTTGAGATGGGCTCTATCTGGCCCAGGCTGATCTAGAACTCACAATTTTCATGCATCAGCCACCTTAGTGCTGGGTGATTTTAGGTGTACAGCCTCACACCTTGGCCCCACTAACAGTCCCTCAAGTTAACAGAGCTGCCTGCCTGCTGGGGCATCACCACTCCCACCATTTGTCATGGGGCACCCTGGCCCCTAAACCCCCTTCCAGGAGCCCAGATGAAGGGGCTTGCTCTGCCACACCCTCCCCAGGTGACACACAGCTTATCTGACACCATATATCCTCTGGAAGCATGGATGCCATCTTCAATATACTCCTTGGCCCTTGGCAGGTCCTACATACAACAGACCTGAGACATTTCAGTTTAGATTCACCTGGGCCTGGCTCACGGCCAGAAAGTTTAAGCAAGCCTTGGATATGGGCAGGGAAGCTGGGGTGCACACAGAAAAGAGCCAGTGTGGGACTCACTGCCCTTGGCTCAATATGGGAAGTGACTGCAGCCTGCTTTCTGGTCTCTATCCTCAGGGACCTGCAGCTTGCGGGAAGAAGAGCAGCAGATCACCTACCAGGGCTGTGTGGCCAATGTGACTCTAACTCATTGTGAGGGCTTCTGCGCCTCCTCTGTCAGGTGAGCAGCTGGTGGGCATCCTCCTTTCTGCTGGGGCTGGAACCCTCATGGGAGCAGGGCTTGCAAGGTTCCCAGCACGTGCCTTTGCCGAGGTCTAGGCAACACACTTGGTGCCATGGCCACATATGCCGTCAGTGAGCAGGAGCTGGCTCGGGAGGGCCTGACCTGCAAACTCAGCTTGCGTCTACCCTGGTCTGGGATGGCATGAGGGTGGTACGGCCACCTGACCTTGCTGCTCTCTGCTTCTTGGCAGTCTCAACACAGACACCCAGCAGTTGGAAACCCGCTGCGGCTGCTGCCAACCCCTAGGTGTTTACGAGAAGCAGCTCTTGCTGCCCTGTCCAGACCCCAATGTACCGGGTCAGCAGCTCACACTCACCCTGCAAGTGTTCAGCAGCTGTACATGCAGATCCCTGCAATGTAGGGAATAGATAAGAGTGGCCTGGCCTCTAGGGCACAAGTTGTCACAGACTTTAAATTGTCATTTACAATGCCTCCCCTACACATGTACAGGCCATCCCTTTACTGGCCGTGGCATGGCCTTAAAGAGACCTTGGATATGGCTCACCTTGAGGCACCTGTAGGGAAACAGCTTCCAGGGCTCCCACCATTCACCTCCCGCAGACCCCCATCAAGCGGAGCATGTCCGCAGTGACAACGAATTGCTGACGCCCCCCCCCCTCCCACACACACACCTGGATGCACGGGAACTTCCTATTCTGTCCATTTACATGGCACCCCTCCTCCCAGCCTCTGGCTACAATATCCTCCAGATGGGAGCCCAGGAACAGCAGCTGGGAAATCCCGGCAGGTTGCCTGGGGAGTCCTGGGGAATGACAGGAGGTGGTTGTGGGGGCTATGAGCCCTGGGGACAAGCAGCAAAGGCATCAGAGGTAGAGGAAGAGGGTCTCCCCAGAGGCTCGGAGTAACAGAAGGTAATGGCAGGTGCAGGGCAGTGGCACCCGCTGGGCAGGAGGCCACTGCCAGGACCCATTTCCTCAGTGGAAGCCATCATTCAACAATGCAGACTCCAAATAAACTGGTTATTTTCAAGGCAGAGGCTAGTGTGTGAGTATTCTTGCTGTCTTCCAAAACTTCAGGCATTATACCCCACAAACATCTACACAGGCCAGGCCACTAGGACCTGGGGCTGCGCAGGCCTGTTGTCCCCCGGTGGAGCTGAACTAAAGACACCAGCCCTGGCCTCGGGCTACTCCTACTCAGGACTTTGCCAAGTCTGTGGCTGAAGGCCACCACCTTCCAGGCTCCCCAAGTAAGGGCCACCTCACTCATGTGCCACCCCTGCTTGGGGTCCAACTCCTAGTAAAATTGGTCCTGAGCCCATGGGGTACTATGTGCTTAGGACTGGGGGAGAGGAGGGTTGCCCACAGCAATATACTCAACAGCTGTTAAGACCAGGCTAGGTTATGCGCACCCAGAATCATACAGGGCCAGGCAATCACCTCTTGAGGCACCCCTGCCCTGGCATAGCCACTGTGTGAAGGACAGATGGCTGCAGAGTCCTTGGTTTGAAGTTGCACTGCGTTCTCTGGGCAGGACTGAAGGCTGTGCAGGACACTCCCCACAGAGACCACACACGTTCCAGCTTCCTGTCCTAGCGTTTATTTTTTTTCTCTGAGAACAAGCACACTGCACTGATGGACGCCCACGCAGCACAGAGGGCGGGCCTGTGCCCCAGCAACCTTCCTGGGCTGGGGCATTACTGAGCCGGGACCATCACCGGGTAGCTCATGGCACACAAGCCACAGCCACACAGGCTGAACTGTCTACATGGTCCATGCAGCAGTACGTGGATCACATGCTCGGGACTCCAGCCACTGGAGCAAAGAGACACAGAGGCTTGTCGTGGCCTCGGCCAGACAGTCCATCTGTAGCACAAGCCTGTGTCATAGCAGTGAAGATAGTCAAGAGCCAGACCACGGGCTTCATGGAACACGAGGGCCAGTAAGCAGCATGGTTGTTCTGAATGGGACTGAAGGAGCTTCAGTGGGATAGGACCCTGCAGCTATCCTCAGACCAGCCATGGAAGGCTGCTGGCCTGAGGCTAAGGCAAAGGACCTTATGTATATATGACCATGCCTGGTGCTCTGGTGAGCAAGGGGCACCACCACCACCACCATGTGTTCAAACTTCCGCAGCAGGATGTGTGCCAATCCCAGGCGTCATCTCCCAGGGGCCTCCCCGAGGCCTCTGCCCTGGTCACTGCTCTTCCCCAACAGGCTTTATATACAGTGCAATGCCACAGAAAGATAAGCCATGAGCCATAGCACTCGAGCTAATGGCCCAGTGCCCCCTGACACAGCACCTGCCTGGGCTGCAGTCTTCAGCCTCCCACTTTCTGACCATACCTGGGCCTCCCTCCACCACCCAACATCAAGCCAGGGCTGCACAGGAGCAGGAATGCAGCACTGAGGCCCCCGCAAGACCGTCTGGAGATAAGTACTCCTTAGGAAGTCTCACTCCACCACCCCACTCAACTCTCCAGTGCCCAGAATGAACCAGAGTCAGTGCAGTCGCCATAACAAAGGGTGTGTGATGCCATGTCCTCCAGAGCCACCAGGAACCCGCTGTCCACCAAGATGTAAACCTAAGTCTCAAATAAGTGGTACAAATGTCACAAATGTCACTTCAAGAACACTGGGGTGCTGGGCACAGGACTGTCCTCAGTGAGTGGGGCAAGGGGTTTGCCAATGGTCACAAACACAAGCACTTCCAGCACTATCAGGTCATGCTCCAGCAAACCCTAGGATACACTGCCCATGGGGTCACATGCCTCCAGCCACTGCTGTCACCATCCAGCATGGCCACAACCCAGCATTAATTCTACAAGCACATGGCACTATTCCTGGGCTCTGAGATCAAGTGAGTGGCATTTTAATAAAATTTGAACAAAAATTTCCACTTTCGTTCAAATGTCTAATTTCCCTTTAATTTGTAGGTTAGCACAGGGCTGCCTTGCTTTACAGGCCCAGGCACCCTTCCCTGATGGGGCAGGCCTGCTGCAGCCCTTCTCCAACTGTGTCCTGCATTCCCTCCACACCCCAGGGGCCGGCTGGAGGTGCGGGGCTGGAGGTGCCTTGCATGGCAGTTTTCAGACAAGGGGTGTTTATCTGCAGTGTACGAGGACAAACGGTAGAGACAAGAGAGACGCACAAACACATGAGCCTGATCTTCTGGCCTGTGGATTAGAACTGTTCTGACAGCAATTCACATAGTCTCTGAGAGACAGTATCTTTGCTCGTCCGCAGAGTGAGTCGGTACATCTGAAACAGAAAGCAGCAGGGTGAGCAGGTGCCAAGCCCCATGGTCTTCGCAGACAACTGTGTGGCCCAGGTCTCACCACTCACAACAGCCCTTCCTAAGGTGCCACCGTCTCACCAGTGAAAATAGAAAAGTTCCAGACCAAGTGTTCGCAGCATGGGGAAAGACTGTTAGTGGAGCGGGGGCGTCAGCCAGTCACTCTGGAAAGCAGCTCAGCAGCATCTTTTTTTAAGTCTTTTTAGACACGGTCCTGCTATAGAGCTAGACTGGCCTCAAACGTGTGCTCCTTCTGCCTCTATTACAGGCATGTGGCACCACACTCAGCCAACATGGCAGCTTCTTGCCAAGTTAACCATGCGCCCACACTGTGAGCCACCCACTGCATTCCCAGAATCCCAAGTGAGGGGAAAATAGAGGCCCACACAGAGAAAAGGACACACAGACTGGGGTCTCCAGAGGACACTGCTGACACAGGCAGTAGGCAGAGCTGGATGAACGCAGCTGGGCTGCTGTGTGGACACGGAGGGTGTACCTAGGACCCTCTGTGGGAACGGGAAACAGCACGTGCTTGGGTGGTAGGCGGCTGTGTGAGTGTATGCACCATCAACATAACCAACCACTAAGGAATCCGAGTGTCTCTGCATAAACTGCACCCAAATAAAAAGCAACACAAGCACGTCTGTCCTCCTGTCACAGGGGCCGCACCTGGGCTTGCAGATTGGGCTCCAGGCGCAGCAAGCAGCCGATCTGGGTGGTTTTGGTGTGTATGATGCCAGCACCCACAAAATTTGCAGGGTTAGGATCAACTTCTTCAAGGAGCGCAGAACCAAATCCAATAATCTGCAGAGAATGAAGAGGCAGGTCAGATGTGCTGGTCACGGCACCCGCCGTGGGGTGTCCCCATGCCACCCTTCACCTTTGCTTTAGTGATTTCTGTGTCCATCGGATGCTTTGCTTTGAAGATGTTCTGCACTTCCTGTTGTGGACTACGAGAGACAGCACAAGGGTAAGGGCTGGAAGCCATGCCGAGACCATGCTATCCAGTGACCCCTGCCCTCCCAACCACAGCACGGCCCTCTCACTTGCTCAGCTGCTTCCAACGTTGAAAAAAATCCTGAGAAGCCATTTCTGTGGGCTGGAAAAACTTGTTGAGTGTAATGGGCAGCTTGACAGACACATTCTGGAAGGTGCCGCCATACCTATGAAGCAAGAGTTGTGCTAAGAAGAACGAGGGCCTGGCCAGAAAAAAGGGCCAAGTGCAGGAGGTCCCTGTGATACGGCCACCCACCAACAGCTGCAGAGGCTGCATGCAAGCAGTAGTCCCAGAGTGGCTGCACCACATCATCCACCCTCCAGCGCAGGGCACACCCATGCCATCTGCAGGGGAGCAGCCTGAACTGGCCACTGGCTCCTGCCAAGTGTCAAGGGCCAGCTCCACTCAGTCCTAGCCCTCAGCAATGATCAGGGACAGGACACAGCACAACTCCCGCCAAACCCACCGGCCTTGCAGACCCCACTGATCTCATCTACTCTACTGTGGCCACTGAAAAGGAGACCACACACTGCAGCACAGAAGCCTGGACCCAAGTAAGCCAGCACCGTCACCCTGGCCACTGTACTTTCAAGCTAGCCCTAGCAAGTGGCACAGGGAGCCTGGCTGGCTGCTCCCCAGGGGGCGGACCTCTCCATTTCTCACGAAACCACCTGGGTCAGGACTATCCTGGCCTGCAGGCCACAAGAAGACTTCATGAAGCCTGGGAAACCACGTCGTGGTCACGGGCCGGCACCCTCTCCCCTTGTTCCTACACTCTGCAAGTTCCAGGCCCAAGAGCACTCTGCACACATTACAGCGGCAAAGCAGCACCCACTTAGGTCCCTCAAGCAAGGCTCAGCGAGGAGGCGGGCAGCGCACACCCCTCACCTGAACTGGATGTTGAGGACAGGAGCTTCTGTGAAGTCAGACACACACTCGATGTTGACCACCTGCTGCACCTGTGCACCCCCATCCACAGTTGGGTCCACGGGCTTGGTCTGCAGGTTCAGATGTGAGTGTGTTAAGGAATCTAGGTAGGCAGGGCAGGTAGGCCCGGCCTAGCCAGCCCACCACAGGAAGTGGCACAGGCCTCCAGACAGCACATTGCCACCATCGCAAAGCAAGGCCCAGGACTGTTGTGAGTCTGCATGCCCCACTGGCCCAGACCACACACATTCATTTCTATTTGTCTGCTCCCTCCTTCTAACAGGTCTCAGAGGTTGCACACTGGCTGCACACCAGCCTAGGCACTTCAGACCTCAGCTCTGAGACCACATGGCTCCTGCTGTGCTCACCAGAAGCTATGCTGAGAGGGAGCTTTACAATCCGTGAAGCTCGGTACCTATGCAAGTCAGAGCCTGCCATGTTCTGAGCAGACACCTCCAGGCTCTCCATGGTACCTCTGCAACCCTGGCAAGGGGTCTGGCCATCCATGCAACCAGAGCTGGACCTGAGCAGCCTCTGTTTTCCTCTGCACCCTATGCCCACTGGTCATGCAGCTGCCAGGACCTGGGCCACCCCACTACACCATGGAGACCAGTGAGCCCTGGAGAAGAGGACACATAGGAGGCAGCTGCAAGCCTATCAATCTTATTTTTTGGTAGGGCTGGGATGGAATCAAGGTCTTGCTCATGTCTGGCAAGCAAGCATTCCATACTGGGCCACAACCCTGGCCACCACAGTGTTTCTGACTTCTGAAACAGTTCAATTGCCTATATTTAAATAATCCTCTCCTCCCAGCACCCACATGGAGGCAAACTGTCCATAATTCCAGTTCCAAGGGCTCCTCCACAGACAATGCACAACACGAGTGCACCTGATATGCAGGCAATACATTCATATGTATACATAAAATAGAAATAATCAACAAATAAATATATCCTCTCCAAGTGAGCACAGACCCACTGCAGAGGCACCTCTGCCCCACACTGAGCTGAACCCCGGTCGGACTGCCCCGGGTGAGATCATCCTTGGAGGCAGCACCAAGACACCACAACAGACGCCACCTGTCCCTCTCCTGCATCTCCTCAGCCAGAGCATCCAACATTTCTGACCATTCCTGATGGCCACACGGGGCCATCCTCAGCCTGAGCAAAGGGCCGCCACAGCACAGCACAAGCCAGTGGGTACGAGGTGCTTGCCTGTTACAACAGGATCGCTCCACTTCTGGCCACAGCTCTTCTGGGGGACTTCACAGGACTGGGGATGAGCCCAGCAAGGGCTTAACGATATCACAGGAGAGCAAAACAAACTAAGAAAGAGTGACTCACGCAGCTGCGTGGAAGGGGCGGGCGTGCAGGTGGTGTATGATGTACCATCAGGTCAACTCAGGGAAAGTGCCTGACTCTACCTAGCAACAGGAAAGCACTGCCATTTGACCAAAAGCAACCCTCCTCAAAGCCTCCTCTGATTCCGATTGCTGTCATCTCTGTCTGTCTGTCTGTCTGTCTGAGGGCCCAGGAGAGGAGTGAGGATATGAGCCTGAAGGTCATCTGCACAGATTAGTGTCGGTGTGAAGTTTAGGAACTGCGTGGAGGTCTTGTTACCATAAAATATGAACATTCGGCCTAGGAAAAAACAGAGACAGTTTATTACACACACACACACACACTTTTCCTGAAGAGTTAGTGACAATCAAAGCGGCCCACGCCATCTCCAGTAGAATGTACTTGTCGTGAGCTATGACTACTGTTAAAATTAAAGATTTTCTAATTCTTTTTGTTTGGCTGGTTTATTGATTTGATTTTGTTTTGGATCTCACTCTGTAGCCCAGTCCAGCCTGAAATTCATGGTAATCTACACACAAGTCATCTCATCAAGTTTCTAGTTTAAAAGTAGCATGGTGGGCCAACATAGCCGCAACTCACCTGTAATCCCAGCACTCAGGAGATGGAGCAAGAGGATCAAAAATTCAAGGCTAGCCCCAGTTAGATAGTTTGAGGCCAGCCTGGGCTACATGACAGCCTGTTTCAAAACTAAAACCAAAAGCAAACTAAAACTGGCATGGTAAGGCTGGGAATGAGGGTCTCTTCCCTCAGGTCTCACCTACCCTAGGGCCTTTTTCCTACAGAATTACTCAAGGGGGAGGGCCACACTGCTGCCCACAGAAGAACCAGAACCGAAGCCATGAGGTCAGGAGACTGCGTGGCACAGGCATAGCCTGCTGTTTCCAGGGCACTTAGACCAACCCACACTCCTTCCATCTGCATCCACTAGTCAGCCCACCTCTGGCACTGAAGGCCAGATGGTCCTTCATACACACCATGTCCCTCCTGTTACCAGCATGCCACATCCCACCTGGCCAAATCACAGTGACACTTCTACCCCTGGCATTCAGATAGGAAACCAAACCACCAAAGTTCTGAAAAGGTGAGTAGATTAGCTTCTTTCTTTCAACCCAGACTGGTAAAGCCACCATGACACAGGGTAAAGCCTCAGTCAGACCAGTCACAGGGAGTATCAGCCCAGCATCTCCCAGAGAACACACAGTAGGTCCTCAGCATCCCACAGCCCGGCAGGGTAAGCATGTGCTTCTTCCTCCTTTTTCACATCCCTCCTCCTTTCCGTAGACTTCCAAGGTCCACAGGGTGCTGGGTGCCAGGAGACTACAATCCCAGGGGGCCCACCTCAGCAGCAGCCCCAACAGTTTGGTGGGCATCATGTTTTCTTTGGGGACTCAAGAATCGTCTTCCCTCTTGTGAATTGTGGTGAGGTACATATAGCCCAGAGTAGACAATCCAGCCTTGTTCAAGTGCAGGGCTCCACAGCATAATGCACTCTCAAGGTAATGTTCCTGTCATCCACCTCTGGAACCTTCCATCTTTCCAACTAAGACTCTGCCCTCATTAAACACCAACTCCCAACTCTTGGCACCCTATCCCGCTTTCTCTATCTGTGGTTCTGATTGCTCTAGGGACCTCTTGTGAGTGGAATCCCACAATGTATCCCTTTACATGGCTGGCTGAGCTCCCTCAGGCAAATTCAGTGCAGGCTATTTGAGCATCTCCGTCTTTTTAAAGCCGAATAGTAAATACTCTGCTGTGTGGTTATACCATATGCTGTTTTCCATTCTCTGATAGAGCTTGGGATGCATCTTTTCACCATGGCTACTGCTGCTATGAACACACAAGTGTGAAAATCTCTCTGAGATCTGCTTTCGGTTCTTCTGGGTTGACACCCAGAAGTGAGTGGTCGGATCCTCTGGTAACTGTTTAACTTTCTGAGGAACCACCACAGTGTTTTCCACGGTGACACCGTTTCACTCACAGCACAAAGGGTTACACTGCACACGCTTCCCAGAACCCGTTAGGTCTGCCTGTCTATCTGTGTGTCATGGTGCTATCCTCCCAGTGAGGTGGCAGTCTCTTCCCCAGTGGCTAGTAAAGAGTGCCTTGTCATAGGCTGGCTGGCAACTTGCTCATCTGCTATGGCCAGGTGACGACCAATCCTCTGCTCGCTCTGGAACTCAGACTGTTTTCTCATGGTTGAGTTCTGTATAGGAGTTCCTTAAACATTCTGGATTAATCCTTTTTCAGTATAAGATTTACAAACATTTCTTAGAATTTCCCCTAATTTCTTTTTCTTTTTTGGTTTTCTTGAGACAGGATTTTATACTTCAGACAAAACTGGCCTGGACTTACTATCTAGCTCAGGGTGGACTGGAATTTATGACAAGGCTCCTGCCTCAGCCTCCCAAGTGCTGGGATTATAGATGTGAACCACCATACCTTGCTGATTTTTTTTTTTCAGACAGGGTTTTACTATGGAACCCAGGCTAGCCTGGAACTTGCTATGTTGCCTAGAGTAACCTCAAACTTACAACTGTCCTGCCTCAGCCTACAAATACTGGGATTAAAGGCATATGTCAACCATGCCTGGCTATTTTCCATAATTTCTAGAGAAATTTTCATTAAGTAAAACACATACCTAGATTTTGCCGAAATTCAGACTTCAGTCCAATTTGAAGCAGTTGGTTTTCAAACAACACACCATTATTTTTACAAACAAACCTAGGGAAAAAGGATCATGTCACTCAGAGCCACCTACTAAGATACAAGGGTTTGTTTTGGAAAGAGCTTAAAGTACTCTGGGCCAGGAGGCTGGAGAGATAGCTCACCGTTAAGAGCACTGGTTGTTCTTGCAGAGACCTGGGTTCAGTTCCCAGCACCCACATGGTGGGTAACAACCATCCTAACTCCAATTCCAAGGGGTTCAATGCCCTCTTCTGACCTCTGTGGGCACTGCACCACTCAGGGGCACTCACATACACGCAGGTAATACACTCACACACATAAAATAAAAATAAATAAAATATTTTAATTTTTTTAAAAAAGTACTCTAGGCCAGAATACTTCTGTGGATACAGGAAGCACAAAGTTGAAGCATTCCAAAGATCTTGTATGGGGCCAAAGAGATAGAGCCAGCCAGCAAGCGGGCAGTGGCCAGCTTCCTCAGGTATCCTCAGATACAGGAGGTCCGCCAGGCCATGGTGGTGCATGCCTTTAGTCTCAGCACTTGGGAGACAGAGGCAGGCAGATCTCTGAGTTCAAGGCCAGCCTGGTCTACATAGTGAGTTCCAGGGCAGCTGGGGCTACTACAGGGAGACCCTGTCCCAAAAAGACAAAAAAAAAGAAGGAAGAAAGGAGGGAGGGAGGGAGGGAGGGAGGGAGGAAGGGAGGGCAGTGCTAGACACCTGCAGAGTTGGGAGGAAAGAGCCAGACAGCTAGCTGCCTGGGACAGCTATCTGCACCCACCGACCACGGTGGGAAGGCAACTACGCACAGAAGGAGGGAATTCCCTTAAAAAGGATGTGTACCAGAAGTAGACAAGGGACAAATAGAGCTGAAGGGGGAGAGTCAAGCTCAGAATGTTTATCAAGAACATCCCAAAGAAAAGCAGTATGGAGACTCCATCGGGTCCCAAGACATAAACAGGACAGCAGCCATCCACATGTTCTGTCTGCAACACCAATAAATGGACAGCCCATTAGGTGCTGGGGATAAGTACAAACCCACCCACAAGGTACAGCTTCCACCTCTCCCAGGCAGTGCCGGGGATGGCGGCAATGCCCACTCTGTCCAGTCAGCCTCGGCCGCACTGCCCATCTTCAGTACTCAGAAAACTGGGCTACCTGGCAAAGTTGTCTTCAGAGCCGGGAGCAAGAGGTGCAACGGCAGAGGCCGAGTCTGAGAAGACATCTACCAGCAGCCCGCCTCCAGAGGAGGGAGCGGGCCCCGAGGGGGCGGGAGGAGCGGCCCCCAGACCCAGCAGGTCTGCAGAAGGAGAAGGCGTGGACTGGAAGACAAGGAAAAGGGGCGTCAGCACGGGCACCTGGGCACTTCGGACTCTGGTCTTGTGTCCACTCCCAGGTAGGGCTGCACTAGGGCCAGCCTGTAGTGCAGAGACAACAGACCAGCTGGCCACCTGTGAGCAAGTTTACTCCCGAGTCCTGCTTAAGAGACAGTCACCTCACAAGGCCATTATGACTTCACACAACTAAAAGGAGCCTGCACTTTCTCATGCTATTTAAATTTAAAAAAACAAAATTCTGAAAAGTTTTGACAAGAAAGATAGGTGTGGTTTAAGAACAAAGTCCAGGCACATTAGTGTCAAGTTTGTGTCACACGTGCTAGTGCACGCCAGTACTCTCAACACTTGGAAGGTCAAGGCAGGAGGACCAGGAGGTCAAGATCATCCTCTGGTACATAACAAGTTCAAGGTCATCTGGGCTACTTGAGACTGTCTTGGGAAAAAAAAAAAGAGAAAAGCTTTTTGTGTGTGTGTGTGTCTGTATGTGCACCATATATGTGCAGGTGCCTTCCGAAGAGGGCACTGAAACCCTGTTATGAGCTGCCACTGTAGGTGCTGGGTCCTGGGCAAGAGCAGCAAGTACGACCACTGACGCATCTCTCCAGCCCTGAAGAGTAAATTTCAAAAGATGGAAAGGTAGGCCAGGCATCATGGCTCATGCCTCGAGTAATCCCAGCACTCGAGGCTAAAACTGGAGGACTGTTGATGTTCAAGGACAGCCTGGGCTATACAATGAATTTAAGGCCAGCCTGGGTTACAATGTGAAAACCCAGTCTCAAACAAAACAAACAGTTTTGTTTTGTGACCCACCAAGTTTAACCAGGGCCATGCACGTGGCCTTGGGTTTGGAGACATCCACTGGAGTCTGGTGGGCTCAACAATGGGTGCCCAACTGAAGACAGTGACTCCCCTCCTCTCCCAGGATCTATCAATGGTTCAACAGTAAGGGTTGCAAGAGCCCTTCCCTCATCCATGACTGACTGACACAATTGTGAAAAATTTGTGGGGCTGGGTATGGTGGTGCAGGCCTTCAATCCCAGCACTTAGGAGGCAGAGGCAGGCAGATCTCAGTGAGTTTGAGGACAGCCTGATTTATACAGTGAGACCCTATCTCAAAAAAGAGAAAAACTGTAGGAAAGAGGGAGGCTGACCCAGATGAGGAGATGAAAATGCTAAGAGTGAGGTCCGAGCACAAGTACACATGGTATGTGTGCGTGAAAACTGTCAAGACAAACAAATGAGAATTTAATTAAAAAATGAAAGCTTCGCCGGGCATGGTAGCGCACACCTGTAGTCCCAGCACTGGGGAGGCAGAGGCAGGCAGATCTCTGTGAGTTCAAGGCCAGCCTGGTCTACGGTTCCAGGACAGCTAGGGCCACAGGAAGACCCTGTCTCAAAAAAAGGACAAAAAAAAAAAAAAAAAAAAAGAAAGCTTCAAAAATAGTAAATAAAAAGCTGGGCATGGTGGCACACACCTTTAATCCCAGCACTAGGGAGGCAGAGACAAGGGGGGTCTCTGTGAGATTGAGGCCAGCCTGGTCTACGGTTCCAGGACAGCTAGGGCCACAGGGAGACCCTGTCTCAAAAAGACCAAAAAACCCCACAAAAACCAAAAATAAATAATAAATAAACAAACAAACAAACAAATAAAAGATGAAGGGGCTGGAGATGGCTCAGCAGTTAAGAGCATTGGCTGCGCTTGCAGAGGACCTGGGTTTGATTCCCAGCACCCACACGGGGGCCAACAACCATCCATAACTCCAGTTCCAGGAGACCTGACGCCCTCTTCTGGCCTTTGCAGGCATTGTATTCACAGGTACACTTACATACATGCAAGCAAAACACTCAAACACATAAAAAAACAAGTTTTAAAAACCTGAGATGTGTGCTAGAGATGGCTCAGTGGTTAAGAACACTGGCTGCTCTTCCAGAGGACCTGGATTCAATTCCCAGCATCCACATGGCAGCTAACAACTATCTATAATGCCAGTTCCAGGGGAATCTGACGCTCTCTTCTGGTCTCTAAAGGCTTTGCACAACACAAGTGCACTTACATACATGCAAGCAAAGCACTCATACCCAAAAATAAAAATAAATAATTAAGTCTGAGGCATGAGATTCTGACTTGAAGACTTACCCTGAATGACTTTTGAACATCCTACTGTTCACTCACAAAGGCAAAGCTTTGAGACTAGATCCTGAAGCATTCAACATTCATACAACATACCTTGTGCTGGGCAGGTGCTCAGTGGCTCCCAAACCCTGCACACAGGTGGCAATGGCCTGTCCCAGTCAGAGGGCTCCTTTGAGTGAGGCCAAGCCTCAGGCTGAACCTCAGCAGAGCATACTAAGAGTATGAATGTTAATGTTTAGCACAGAAATCTGCATGCTTATCCTGTAAACCATGGGTGATAAGTTGTATTTTCATAAATACATGTGTAGGTACGTGACACTCTGAGAATGTTACTTCAAGAAAAATAAGATCCCCACACACAAAGTATATGTCGTGCAAGGGGTGTGGGTATGACAGCATGCCAGGCCTCCCAGGTCAGGCATAGGCCCAACTGTTGCTAGTGGCCAACAGAGAGAGAAGCACGGGGAACTGGGGACAGAGGGCTCCTAGGACCCCTCTTGCAGCTGCACATCTCCTTTAGAAGGGTCACCAAAGGCAGCAGCCCAGATGACTTGTCATATGTGGCCCTCAAAAGGAGACAGAGCCACAGAGAGGCTGACCAGAGAAGGATGACCAGGAAAGCCTGAGCCCATAGCATCTGATGGCCCATAGCTATGGCAGCCCAGGCACAGGTGGTCCTGACAACACCATGCTCATAGTCTCACTTTAGCTGGAGAAAGACAGTAGCCCCAAGAGCTCCAAATGGCATTTCACAAACCCAGTGAACACCACAGGAATCATCATATAAAGGGGAAGTCTGCTCTACTTCAATCACTAAGAGGCAAAAGGCAAGCCATTCTAAACCAATGGAGAGCACAACAGGCCTTCTACAGGAGCGGTGAGTAAGCTCAGGTCCAAAAACAAGTCACCACAGAGAGCCACAGGTTCTGGTCTGGTCCTAAGAAGCCATGCCCTGGCCTCATGGAACAAGCTGTCCTGGAGAACCCAGGCTCAGGAGCATGTCGAAGGCACCACGGACTCCTGGTATCTGGGTACACACTCTGAATTAACAAGTCTTCCCACAGATACCTGTCCTGCTAATCCCAACCTCAGCGTACAGGGCCCTGATAGGGTCTGGGTGCACAGTGGCAGGGACCCACCGCAGCACTGGTGCTAGCTGGGACGGGCTCGGGGCCCCCATTCACATCGACGCTCCGTTCCCGTTTGGTCTCCTCCAGGTCAGTCACAGTGCTTGGGCCTTTCTTCTTCTTCAGCTTGGCCAAGATGGAGGACTCACGCTCAGGGAAGGGTGGCATTTCCTCTAGGACAGTTGCCTATCAAAAGCAATGGAAGTCGGTGTGACCCACCCCAGCATCTAGCACCAGCCCAAGGACCCCAGTACCAAACAGTCCAGCCAAGAGCCCACACCAGGATGTCAGTGCTGGCAACGGTACTCAGTCGCAGGTACTCCACAGCCCGCTGCTGCAGCTCCACATCCGCATTCTTAAGCTGGCTGTCACTGCGCAATACATCTTGAATGGTAGCCTTCACCTCTGGAAAGAGGTTCACGAACTTGATGTAGGTGGACAGTAAGAGTGCCCGGGTAGGGACGCTGCACAGGTGGAACTTGGAGTGGAGCAGGTTAAACTGGATCAGAGGGCTTGAGAGGAGCAGAGAGCACAGATGGGCAGTCGTGTTACCTGACTGTCCCCAGTGCTATCTTGTGTTCAGCCTGAGACTTGGGCAGGGACCCTATGCTAAAGACGTGCTGCCTTGAGGCCACACTGCCAGCTCAGCCTAGGAGTTTCCTAAAAAGGACCCTCGCCCCTCCCTCTGACTGCCGAGCACTACAGGGCACAGGGCAGCCTAGTGCGAAGCAGCCCCTGGCTCTCTGAGGTCTTTACCTGGATCGTGGGTCCCCAGCTATCAAGTTTCCAAACTCCCCTAGGATGTAGCCGCCCACTTTGACCAGGTTCTCGTGGCATGCTGGAGCCTGCAGTGCCTGTGAACAGGGAAACACCGTGAGCTGGCCCAAAGAGGCAGCTGGGCTGAAGAGAGGCCGGCACGAAGAGGAGTTGCAGGGAGACAGCTGGGCCCTTCCTTGCAAGTGCATTTAGGCTCAGTGAGAGCCTCCTGCAAAGGCTGGCAGACCCTGGTTTCCCTGAGACAGCTGCAGTGCCAACAGCAGGAGGCCCAGTGGGAAGGCCAGGGGCTGTGCTGAGAGAGTCCTGAGGCATGACAGACATATGGTATCCCTCATGCATAGGCTAACTCGAGATGTGAGGCTCAGGCAGCTTTTACAGGTTTACGCAACAGCCCAAGTACTCCAGCCTGATACAGTTCTAGAGATTAAGGTGAGAGAAACTGTTCAGTGGGGGCATTAGTACTAAAAGGGCGGAGTCACAGACAGGTGGATGGGAGCAAGAAGGGAGATGGGCAACCGGCCCAACTGTTCAATCAAGCTTAGGCACTGCTGCCCTCAGTGAGGGTATACACCCTTCCCCACCTACCTCAAACACTGTCTTGGCAGCATAGCCCTGCACGTCATCACGGTTGATGACAATCTGGATGACGCGGTACCACACCTCTTCACTCACATAGTCACCTGCGATGCGGATGAGGTTGAGGATGGTGTCCACATACCAGGTATAGTCCACCGCATACTTCTCAGCCAGAATGGCCACCTTCAGCACCTGCAGGGAGGACCGGGCTCTCAGGCAGATGCCATGCAGGCCACCGGACACACCAAGGATGGGCCAGCACACAAGCCTGTGCCAGGCTTCACAAAGACCTAAAATCCAGGGTGTGCAGGAAGCTTTCAGCAGATCCCCAGAGGCCACAAACCCAAATGGCAGAGAGCTGCTGGCTCAGGTGAGGAAAGCCAAGGGACTTTCAGGAGTAGATGCAGCAATGTGGCTGAGCCAAGGAGCAGCAGGACAAGACAGCTGGGCCTGGGACAGGGTACCACCATTCAGACACTCTGCTGAGATGAATCACAACCCCACCCTGCACCCTCACTTCCCTGGGCTCTGGGAGCCTTCTCTCAGCGGGTCTTCCTCACTGCCTCCCCAGAGCCTCCTCTCATGGTCCCCCTCCATCACTCTACACCACCCTCAGGGCCTCCAGAATCACAGCACAGGAACAGCCACCCACTGGGCAACTCTGCCCACTACGCAAAACCAAATTCATACCAGTTACCTTGCACTGACATCATCCAGCACCAGCTGCCAAATCAGACTCAATGACATCATACCACACAGCTATGTAGGCCAGTCCTTCCCTAGATACAGAATGCCTTTCTCCCCACACTACCTGCCACAGTTGGATCTTCAATGTCCAAAGTTCCAAGTGTTAGAGACTTGGGTCCCAGGGTGGCACAGTAGGAGGTGGTGGGACCTTTAAGGGGGAGAGACTCAATGGAGGGTCTGAGGTAACTGGGAGTGTCCCTGGAGGGAATTGGGGCCGTAGTTTCATCCCTGCTCTGCCTCTTGGTCACAGGGTGAGCAGTTTGCTCCACCGTGCACTCCCTGCTACCATCAAACAGACAGAACATCAGACTCGCTCACAGAGGCCTGAAGCTCTGCGTCTATCCAATCTTGGGCCAGAACCTGCAACACTGTGAGCCAAAACAAACATCATCTCAGGGGAGCCCAACAAGATGCTCATCAGTAGCAGTGTTTGCTGTCTAGTCTGATGACCTGAGTTTGATTCCTGGAACCCACATAGTAGGAAAGAACCAACTTCTACAAGTCACCCTCTGAGCTCCACAAGTGCACCCTGGCACACACAAGCCTACAGACAGGCAGGCAGACACAGACACAGACAAGACCACAGTGAATGAATGAATGAATGAATGAATGAATGAATGAATAAATAAATAAATAAGTAGAATTTTTTTAAAAACCTGCCTCAGGACCTAGGCTGAGCACCAACTCACTGCCCTCAGCATCTTCTACCTGTAGACAGCAGCACCTACTCCCCATGTGGACCCTCCTCTTAGTACTATTTCCTAGTCAATAGCTAGGATCACTTCCTCCAATACTTCTTTTTTTAAAAAATTGTTTAAAGATTTATTTGATGTGCATGAGTGTTTTGGCTGCATGTATATAAGTGCACCACGTGCGTGCGTATAAGTGCACCAAGTGCATGCAGTGCCCACAGAAGCCAGAAAGAGTTGTGTCCCCTGGGCCCAGAGTTGTGGACAGTTGTAACCAGCCATATAGGTGCTGGGAACTGAACCTGAGTCCTCTGCAAGTGCTCTTACCACTGAGTCATCTCTTCAGTTCCCCCAGAAAGCCTTCCTGACCTCTATTCTCTGGTCTCTGCTCCTTGGAGCATGGCATGCAGTCATGAAATAACTCAGCATGGGAACTCGGCCCTTCCTCATCAGATCCTTGCTCAGGACCCTCTGAGGGAACCCAGCTAGGGCCCACAGCGGCCCCATCCCTCATCAGCTCGAGGAGGTCTCACTTGGCACTCTGCTCTCCGAAGTGACATGTGAGAAAAAGGTTTCCACAAGACAGAGCTGCCATCTCAGCCTCAGAGAGAGGCTATGGTCACAGTCAGCAATAGCAGCTGGCCCCCACCCTCACCCCACGGTCCACTGTCACTGAGAAGCTGTGGAGAGACCAGGGCCATGTGGAGTGAGGCATCCAGGGCCACCTCTCTCTGATCACACAGCTGCATGCTTATTCCCTGACACGGTGAGGGGCCTGCTGGACTATGACAATGGCTGACCAGAGTCACACTGAAAACCAACACCATACACATCTGCCCACAGTTTATAGACACTGACCTCCAATATGCCAAGAGGCACCAAGAAAAACAACCAGCAGCAACTAAAGGTTGAAAATCTAAAACAGCTTCTAGAGAACTGTGCCCTCAATTACCAGCTCACACTTGCCTGGTACAGATGATGGCAACCTGGGGCTGTCAAAGGCCCACAATGAGGCAAGAAAGCTGGTGCCAAGTCTCTATTTTCTCAAAGACTTCAAACAAGCCTGACAGGCAGACTGCAACTAACTGAGAACCATCCACTAGGACTCAGCCCACAGCAGGCAGCAGCTACAGCAACCCGTCAACTACAGGACTCACAATTTCCTCTCGGATGGAGTAGTCAGCCGTCTCTAGGTAGCTCAGCATCTCAGCCACAATCTGCTGGGCATTGCTGCGGTCACACATGGCGTAGAGTAGGTCTACTGCCCGCTGTCTCACGCTCACGTCCCGTTCAGTCTGGGGAACAAGGTAAAGTCAGACCACTCCTGCGAAACACAGGTCAATGGATATGGCTGTCTACTTCCACGCAAGCCTATGGTCTAGGACATTCATTCCATGTGCGCTGCCTCGGGGCTACCCACAGCTCTGGCCCCATCAGGTAGGGTGGCCCTCTGTCCCCAAACCCCTTACTGGGCTCCTTATTATCTGTATCTGGGACCCAACAACTCCAGTGACTTGGGGCCCCCATACAACTCACTGCTCCCCGTACCTCATACTTAATCCAAACAGTCTGGGTAGTCCAGTGTTTAGCTCTGTCCATTCACTCTCCTCCCTGACCGGGTCCTCTAAGGACCACACTCAGGCCTAGCAGGCAGGTCGCTAATGCCTCTCCATTGTGTGCACAGAGCAGTACCTTCCGTGTTACCTGGGAGCTGGTTCTAAGGCAGGTTCTTGGAATGAAACTCGACCCCAACAGCACACAGAGCCTGAGAACCATGGTGCTGGTCTACACCTACCTATCATAGTAGCAGAGAGCACTGCAGGACACCATGGCACAGGACGCCCCAGCAGGACGCCCTGGCAGGACAATGACAACAGCAACTAGCAAGTTTCGAGAGCTATAACAGCGTGAAGTAAGAGCTAAACTTGTAACTGTTGTGACTGCAGGGAATGACTGGAAAAGACGGCAGATCAGGATCAGAAAGAAGCCAGCTTCTTTCTGTGTACAAGACAGACACCAAAAGCCTGTGAGTTACACATAATCACGAGCGGTGTCAGACCAGTTTGGCCACAGCTTAAAACGAGACCAGGATTAGGGCTCTGCATCCACAGTTCTCTAATGTACTGGTCTCACAAACAGGTACAGCATATGGTCCGGCCTCAGACACCAGTGATGCTGCTCTTGAGACTCAAGGCAGGCGTGGGAAAAGGAACCCTCAACCGGGCTCTTCGAACTCTGGAATCCTAATTGTAAAGAGTCCAAATCCTTGACAATGAATTTTGATTTACAAAAGGTGAGTTTTCTTGGAGAAGAGCTTCTTTTTGGTCTTTTTGAGACAGGGTCTCTCCCTGTAGCCCCAGATGGCCCAGAACTCACTAGACAAGGCTGGCCTTGAACTCGCCTCTGCTTCCCAGTGCTGGGATTAAAGGCATACACCACCACACCCAGCTAATATTTCTTTCTACCAAAGAAAACTAATTCTGTTTATTGAACTCCTATCCAGGACTCCAAGCAGGTGCCACAGAAGTCATCCCATGGGACATGACTGTCATAAGAGGATACACTCAGGCCAAAGGTGCTTGGCCAGAGTCCTCCTGTTCTACTGCCCCAGTGCTGTGTCTGGCCTTGAGCCACTGCAAAGATGGGCAGCTCTCTCACCTAACTGCTGCATCCACCCCACATGGCAGCAAGTGCCAGGAGACAGGCCAGCACCTCAGAATCCAAACTCAACAGCTAAAGGGACTCATCCGTGTCCACAGGAGGCATCTCCTAACCTGCTGGCCTCTGCATGAAGGCAGTCACACATGACCAACAAGTAGCGCACCTTCAAGGCATTGATGACGGTCTCAATGTGGGTCTTGACAGCCTCATGGGAGAACTCGGAGCTGGCCAGAGTGCACATGCTCTCCAGAGCCAGGTAGCGCAGGTTGGTCTCCCGGTGCTGCAGGAACTGGCCCAGCTGGTTGCAGGCACGGACTAGAAGGTTGGGCTCGCTACAGGGAACAGGGGACACAGGAGTGAGGAGTGAGTGGAGCTGGGAGCCAGAAGAAGAGGGTGCAGTGAGGAGAGGTGAGGAGGGGTTCAGGTCAAGAGCTCGAAGATCACCATCAGTGTCTGCATAAACAACAGACACCAAGTGCCAACACACCACTGATGGCAGCTCACCTGTCATGATGGATGATCAGGCTGATGGCCTCAAACAGCACAGCGTTCTTAGCATTTGAGTGCTGGACCTTCTTGGACTTAGGTGGTTCCTGGGCCTTGTTCAGGATGGTCTCTAAGCATTCAGTCAGGCGGCCACGTACCGCAGGGTCTTCTGGGCAAGAGAGAACTATCAGCTGGGCTCCCATGTCCTCGTCCCACCAGCCCAGCCTCACACCTTGGCAAGAGGCCGCCAACACACTGCACAGGCTGCTGATAATTATCCCAACTGCTGAAACAGCTGGGAGCATTTGCAAACCCAGGGGACAGCTCCCTGTTCTAGAGTCCTAAACATAGTATGGGGTGGAGCGGCTGGGTAGCCACACCTGTTTCTAATGCAGGTCATCCCAAGAGTTATGGGCAAAACATGTAATAACAAGGCAGAGCAACACACAGACTTTTTTCATCTCTACTTGTTATTAGCAACAGAAACAGAGAAAACCGTGCTAGTGGGATGACTCAGCAAGTGAAGGCCCTTGCCACCAAACCAGACAACCTAAGACTATGAAATCTCTGGTGTCCAGAGTGGAAAGAGAGAACAGATTCCCCAAAGTTGTCCACACACACATACACATACACACACACACACACACACACACACACACACACACACACACACACACACACACACAAAATGCAATAAAAGTTTTATAAAAAAAAATTGAGACAATGTTATGTACAGCAACACAAACAGAAGGAAATTGTTTTGGGAGCAGGGTCTCCCTGTAGCCCCAGCAGGCCTGGAACTCCCTACGTAGACCAGGCTGGCCTTGATCTCACAGGGATCTACCTGTCTGTCTCCCAAGCACTGGGATTAAAGGTTGGAAGGAAATTTTTAAAATTTCATTCAAAGCAGAAGGGAAAGACAAGGGGACCCAAAGGCCTGGTTCTTCACACCTACGACCTCAGCACGCAGGAGGCAGAGGCAAGAGGGTTGGTTCAAGGCCACATAGTAAGTTCAAGGTCAACCTGAGCTACCCAAAACCCTGTCTCATAAGAACTAAAAAAGGGCCAGTAAGACAGCTCAGGAGACAAAGGGACTTGCCATCAAACCTGATGATCTGAATTCAATCCTCAGAACCCACATGGCAAAGGAGAGAACCACCTCCCACAGGTGGTCCTCTGACCTCTGCACGCATGCTGTGGCACATGCACCCATATACATACAAAGACACAAAAATAAAATAAATTATTAAAACAAAACAAAACTGTAAAGCCCTAAAGCCAGTCAGAGTGGTCGGATTCTGCTGTCTCAGCATTTGGGAGACTGGGGCAGGAAGCTTGTAGCAAATTCCAGGCAGTCAGATTGAGAACCTAGCTTTTCACATGGGTGCTAAGCTTGAACTCAGGTTCCCTGTGCTTGCTGTGCCAGCACCTCACAGGCTGATGTATCTCCCTGGCCCCTACAATGAACAATTAATACTTTTTTTTTTTTTGGTCTTTTTGAGACAGGGTCTCCCTGTAGCCTGAGCTGTCCTGGAACTCACTATGTAGACCAGGCTGGTCTTGAACTCACAGAGATCCACCTGCCTCTGCTTCCCAAGTGCTGGGACTACAGGTGGGCGCCACCACGCCCGGCCCAAGCAAAAATTTTAACAAACTAAGGAATTAAATTCTTCCTTATGAGGGGTCTGGGGCAAACTCAGTCAGTGGTCATGGAGGGGAGGACTGCAGGAAACATCAAGGGGGGATTACGGGAACTATCTGGGGGACGGGGTGGGGGGGTTATATAAGAAACACCTGGAGGGCTGCAGGGAACTTTACCTGGGGGCGGGTAGCACTGTAGCAGTCTCAGAAGTTTGACTGACAGCCAAGGAGCTGGGACGAAGTAGTAAGTATAATCCTGAAGATCCGTTGACGCAGATGTCACGATCTGTAAGAAAGCCAAGGCATGGCCCTCAGGAGCCTCCGACAGGTCCCACAGAAAAGCCACTCTGGCTCCCCAGGCCCTGCCTTTCCAGAACAGGTGCTTGCAGCTGACTACAATGCTGCTGCTTGTCTCCCCCAAGAGAAGCCAGCATGGCCACAGCAGCTTACACAGAAAGGGACTATGCCACCCCTTCAGTGGACAGCTTCAAATGCTGTTACCATAAGGGCCAAAACCAAGCAGCAACCATCCCTCGGTCCTGAACACCAACACCTGCAGAGGCAACCAGTCTTTCTTTGTGGCATGAAGAATGAACAAAACACTTCTAAAAGTACCTTGGGATCACTCAGGGGAAAAGGGACACCAGGTGAAGCTAGCGTTCCAACCGATATTCCACCTCTGCCAAGCTCAAGCCATGCTGTGAGACTGCAGAGCCAGGGAGCCGCACTCACTCGACCTCCCAGTCCAGTGTGGCCCCTGTCTGACTGAGCCTCAGCCACCTAAGTGACCCCAACTGCCATACCTGCTCCACCAGCACACAGCCCAGAGTCCTTTCCACCGCTTTCCCTAGGGGCTCAGAGTTGCCCTTCCCTCCCTAAAAGCACACCTGTGTGACACAAGCCATGTGAGTGAATTCAGGAAAGTGCCCTGATGATACTAACCTGGATTTAGGTTGTGGACACCAGTGCCATGGGCAACAGAGTCAGGAAAGGACTGAACAGGACAGGAAGTAGACAGCATGCAATCAGTCCAGGCAAAAAGCACAAGCCCCACACCACGTCCAGGAAATGCAGACAGAGTATGTACTGGTTTCAAACAGGCACTATGCAACAAAGTATGCTTGGAGCGCTGCAATGCATTTATTCACAGTAACAAGGCGAGGAAAACTCCAAAGGTTCAGAAAGAACTAAGACACAGAGAAAGTAACAAAGTAGAGCTGGGCAGCTCAGCGGCACACCCCTTTAGTCCCAGCGCTTGGGCGGCAGAGGCAGATCGAGGCCAGCCTGGTCTACACAGTGAGTTCCAGGTCAGCTGGAGCTACAGGGAGACCCTGTCTAAAAAAGACAAAAAAAAAAAAAAGTAAAAAAAAAAAAAAAAAAAAAAAAAAAAAAAAAAGTAACAAAGTAGAAAAACACAATAAAGAGGATGAGGGAATGTGCACACTGCACAGAAGGGCTGGTGTCTCAGTGGGGCACTGCAGGCATGGTCCCACAAAGCTACACTGGACAGGGGTCTGGAGAGAGTCCAGTGGCAGAGCAACTGCCTAGCACACACAGGCCCTGGGTTCAATCCCCAACACTGCCCCCAAACAATAGCAGCAAACAGAAATGGGACTTGCCACTTCTCCAGATGAGTGCACAGCCAATGAGCGTGAAACGTTTCAACCACCGATTACTAAGGAGATGCAAACCAAAATCACGAGACACACCACACCCACAAGGAAGACCAGAACAAAGAGCACCAGCACAGCGCTCAACACGCCTACACAGTGCCATGATGGTCAAAGCATCCAACATGTCTGCATAGTGGCAAGACGGTGAAAAGATAACAGGGGGTGCAGTGAGATGATGCCGTGAGGAAAGGTGCTTTTTACATGGACTTAAGCCTAACGTCTGGGCAGTGTAATCCCTTGAACTCTTAAAGAACTATACTGATCACTTTACTCTTTGGTTATACTTCCCTTTTGGGTGTTTAAGACCATACAGTTGGCCCAAATAAATCTATTTTTACACTGAAGGTCATCTGAGGATCTGTTCCTCAGGGGTCACATGGGCTTGGGAGGAGCCCCTGGCTCCTTTCTTTTACCAGTTCCATCTCTGTGAAGATAAGTCAAAAGTCCTGCTCAACCATGTCTGGCTTCACTTGGAAGCACGGATGAGATGTTTCCTCTGAGTTGACCCTCCTCTTTGGACACTGGACACTGGTTCAAGTCCATCTCGTGGGGTCTCCATGTCCTTCCTGAACAAGAGGACAGGTGACTCACCACAGTTACAGGCCATTTTGAGAGATGTTCCATAGTCCCCTGGAACTTAGTCAACCTTGGAGGGTAAGGGGCAAAATCCGTCCTTTAAGTCCCTCTGACCAGATTAGTATAGGCCTCAAAGTATGGCTGTTAAACATCCAATAAGGTTAGTTCCACCGGTCTGCTACTTTTAATTACCATGTGCTGTGTAGATAAAGCTTGGGTAAAAAAACCG